AATCTGTTATTTGGTGAATCTCCAGCAAAACATGCAGAAGTAAAGCAAACCGTTTACACAGTGGGATTGTTTCCATTCCATAAATGAAGGTGTTTGGATTCTGGGCTGTTAGGTGGCAGGTTGAAACAGATTCAGACCCCGGAAGAGTGCAGCGACCTGTGTAAGTTTCACTGTTTTTCCCACTGGACAGAAGACCCATATGCAAAGGCATGTGTGCAAAAGCTCCAGGGGGGCCCTCCCTGTGCAGGTCTGCTGCCTTCACGTCTGCCTCACCCCAGGGATAGTCAGGCTGCTCTTGCATCCTGGAAAGGCAAGGCCTTCCACATTGGCAAACACTCATTATTTTAGCCAGAGAGCTCAGCTGTACAGCAATGCTAATAGGAAGGGAACCCCACACCCCAACACAAACATACTTTCTGCCCAGATCTAATGTAGAATCGAAATGAAAAGTCCCCAAATCTGAGGGTCTACCCACAGGCTCAGTTGAACGGATGTGAGCTGTAGCAAGATCAAAAAAAAAAAAAAAAGCCTGTGATGTGCATCCTTGTTCTTGCAGCACCCTCCACCCTTGGGAGAGCTACTTTATCTCAAATGTAAACTCTTAAACTGTGGGCTGCAATCTTGTGCTAGGGAATCGAAGGTAGGGCTGCAAAAATCCTGACCACAATGAAAGCTTTCTGAATGTGCAACAGCCAAAAGGTAATTCAAAATCAAATGTGTAAGGAAGCCGGGGTATCTCTGATGGCCTTAGCTTCTGGTGTGAGTCACTTCACAGTGGCCTCAGTTCTTTACATACAACATGTGCTCCTTGCACGGTTACATGCCATCACAACATGCAGCCCCAACCAGTATTGCCTGAAGTCCCTCTACTCAAAGAGTCTTACTAAGAATTGCAGTGTTTTTACTGTTATGCACAAGGTTTTCTGCTCTTACCAAACACTATAGCTCCACAACCGAAAACAAAGACTTTCAGATTTCTCTACTGTCATTCCTCAGCATGCTAGTGTCAAATTAGCATATCTGTGGTTTCTAGGTGTGTTAGAGAGCTTAATTTTAGCAACTGTTTCTTGCATGGCTGACTTAAATTTCACTTAAGGTCTGTTAAATGAACTTCGGTTAATGCATAGGACAGAATTTCCAACAATTACTAAAATGTCTTTAAACCTGCTTCTACCAATTTGTGCTCTGTGTTCATGGGAAGAACACATTGAAGATCATAAAATTACCCCATAGATCATCCCTGAAAAAGACTGAAGATGTTCTGTATCACTGAGTCTCAGGTATTGAGCCAGTTTCACTCACACTGTATAAAGAAACAAACACACCCATCTCATTAGGATACAAATTTTCTTTTGTCTTTAATAAATGGTAAAATCATATGTATTCTAAAGAACTGTTTGAAAGTAATGGTCTTGTCATTTTTTTATTGGGGGCTGTAGGGAGGGGGCCTCCTCCATTTGTAGGAGTGTTCCCAGGTTTCCCAGCCTTTACAGATTTGTACCCTAGGGGTGGGGGTGAGCTGTGGATTTTATTTATTTATTTATTTTTATAACTGTGGGGGAAAACAGCCCTACCATGGCCTTTCCATTTTTGCGTCACAATTAAAATCTTGGGATCATCTGCTGCACCAGGGATATTCAGGATGCTCTTTGCTACATGGCAATTCACAGCCCAGCCCATGTCTCTGCATGTAGCATTCCCAGCAGGCACTAACATTTTCATTTGAGAATTTTCGAAGATGTGGAAGTGTGCAAGAGCTGAACTGACAGTGCTCACCCAATAAGAGGAGCAGACTGCTGAGCCAGTCTCCATTCTTTCAGACACCATTTTTCTTACAGATTGTCCTTAAAAGCCATGATAGCCAGGACATGACAAAAGAGTCAATTTGCAAGTTTAGGAACTGTTTGTTCCCAAAGTGGGAGAAAATAATTTGACCTGATTTATGTTGTAGACAAAGCAAACTGGCACTATTTTCAATAAAACTTCTACTGTGTGCTCAAAGAACATGCGAGGGCGTGCTCTATCAACTTTCCTACATTTATGTGAGGTAGGACCGTGCTGACCTTATTGTGACAGAAGAAAAACTGTGCTTGTACTTCTGGAACATATACTGGTTTATACTAGTCTGGACCAAAAGAATTCTCACATGAGCCACTTGTGACAATGTACACAACAAAGAGAATTGTTTAAAAGCTCTGGTTACCCTTGTTTGCTTATCTGAGAGAAGGACTGAAGGCCATTCAGTTTTCATTGTCTTGGTAAAAAAAAAAAAAGAGAGGTGCTTTGCATACTGGTTAAAAGTGTGAGCTTGGCTGTTAGCCTATCCTGAGTCTGAGACCCATTAGGGTTTCTCAGAGTCTGTGATCTGTAACTTAAGCCCTCTGTGAGTCAGAGCCTTTATGTCTAGCATGGAAACAATCATCTTACCCACTTGATGTAATTATTTCTAGAATGAAATGAAAGGCACACAGCACGCACTTAGCTTTGTGCCTGACACATAATGAGGGCTTGATGGAAGTGGATAAAAAGCAAGGGGTTGAATGAAAACATCCTTCATATTTTCTGCTGGAAGAAAAGATGTATTATTTCAGTGGACCTTGTGGGAGGCACTCAGGGAAACTTGAATGTTAACATTAAAAAAACAAAGCCTGAAATCAGACCTTACCCATTCTTGACACTCTATCATCAGGGTATCTTCATCCTGGTTTTTGTGTTTGGATCCCTTGCAGCTAGACAACTGGGGAAAGCAACCCCAAGTCTAGTTTCAATTGCTGCACATACAGAATGAAACTGAAATGAAAACAAAAACTATGGTTTGGCCAGGCAGTGGTGGTGAAGGGACCAGCTCCCCAATTCGGCCTCCATAACAGCCAAACACGGGCTTGTCTGACCTTGTCTTAGTCACTAAGGTCAGATGCCTGCCTTGTGGCAAGGAACCAATCAGAAGTTAGCTGGTGGTGCTATGCTTTACGGCTCTGGGTGTGCTGTATGGACAAGCGCATAGCAATGACATGCAGAGCATAGCAACCACCCTGGGAGGGCCTATGGGCCATAACAACCAGTTGACCAATCAACACAGGGCAAGCCCTCCAAGCCTGGAGGCACACCAATCCTGAGCCTGTGATCCAATTACATCGTGCATTTCCTGAATTTAGGGTTTTGTTTAGGAACAAGTGTTAAAATTAGCACCCATAGAAATGTTACAATTAGCCCGGAGGTGGTGGTGTACGCCATCAATCCCAGCACTCGGAAGGCAGAGGCTGGAGGATTTCTTTGAGTTCAAGGCCACCCTGGTCTACAGAATGAGTTCCAGGACAGCCAAGGCACACAGAGAAACCCTGTCTCTGAAAACAAACAGCTAGGCTGAGTGGTGCATGCCTTTAAAGCACTTGGGAGGCAGAGGCAGGTAGATCTCTATAAGTTCGAGGACAGCCCGGTCTACAGAGCAAGTTCCAGGACAGCCTCCAAGGCTACACAGAGAAACTCTGTCTCAAAAAACCAAAAAAAAAGAAAACAAACAAATGCTTTATGTACCCAATTGCCTGGGACAATAAGAAGCCTTTGATGAGATTGATTCCAAAAGTTTGCAGAAGAAAAAATTTTATTTTTCACTCTACCCAACTCCAATTCAATCCAGGTAACATTTTAAAAGATTTCAAAAGGAAATTTCTCAGATTTGGGACTAGAGGAGAAAAGTCACATGATTTCATTCAGAGTAGAAAAAGGAAATGTGGCTCCCTGGACTTTGTCATACACCACTCCTCCTCCATTAGTGTGTTGACAACTTTGGGAAAGTACCCAACTCCCTATAGCTCACATCTCACATGGCTCAGTCATCCATCATTTAAGGGCAGCTGATTAACAAAGGCATGTACTCCCCTCTGCCCCTCTGCAGAATGCCGTGGGTCAGAATCTTCTGAAAGGACAGTGTGTTCTGTCCATGACTCCTTCGTGGCAACCTGTCTCTATGAAAATGGCAGTTTTGGACAAGTTCAGCAACAATTGCATTATTCATACTTAGTTCTGGCCAGGCTTCAGAGCTTTAATCATCTAAATAGAAAGAGAAAAATCAATTCAACAATGACCAGTTTGATTCAGCACATGTTTACTGAGTCTGTTGTAGCTGCAGAGGGGTGAGCCAGTAGCAAGCCAGCAGCTAGAAATGGCCTGCCCATGTGGCCATCTGGAAGGCCTCTCAGAATAGATGCTATCCAAGCTGTACCTGAGTCCAGACCTCAGAACAGGAGCAGAGAAATTGCCATCTTTTTTGGGTCCTATGTATGTGTATGCCCAAGGGGCTTCGACATTGGCTAAGTTGTAGGCTTGATCAAGGGTGACACTGGGTTAAGTGAGACATAACATATTGAAGTGACCTCTCTTGTTTACTCTTACATATCATCTAATATTTCTCTCTTTTACTTCTTTGGCTTCTCTGCCGTGCTCTAAGCTTCTATAGACTATGTTCCTTACTGTTCTATCTGTATGA